AAGCTTGATTCGCTTTCTGCTGCCACCAGTGTAGAGGTCTGGTAGGAGAAGGCACAAAGTTGCGTGGTTTTGACCTTTGGCCAAGCCATACCCAGTCCCTTTTTATTCGTCCACTAAATGCGTTTTTCTTTCCAATCGAATTTCTGAGGACCCTATCCATGCTTTTTACTACCTATTAGTGAGCCTTGGAAAAATATTACAACTCTGAGTAACCAATCGTCAGACGATTGTTTGCGAGCACATATGCTTAGTTCATACAAGGATATTTCCACTACAATTATAGTTAAACTCATGAAGATTCGGAATTTCTAACGCTTTGAATTAACTTCTTGTTTAATTTTAAATTTCGAATATTTCGTTTAAGCATTAGGCAATGGCACCGTCGTCGTGTGAACTGATCCCTTAACCGTGATAGCAGTTGCAAGCCCTCATGCTTGTCAAATGCATATATTCTATGTGACTATGAGGAGTATGGTCATTTTGAGGCAAAAGAAATTCTATATAAACTGGTGATCCTACTTCAAATACCACTTAAGGTCTGTGCAAACAATTTAATGATTCTGCAATGAATTGATTATCCCCATTCACTGGTTTCCCAAGCAGCCAGAGCTTTATCGATGAAGGACAAGACAGTTTTCAGCTTCTGAAAACTACTAATGAGGTAGCTTCAGTAGCAGTATTTACTTTTTAAGCAGCGTTTAGCCCATTTCAAGTTTGTATACGAGCATTAGTGTGCTGTTGTTTTTTACATAAATTTAAATGAATTTTTACAAATGTATTTTTATTGTTGTGCGCCTCACATTTGTATGTCAGAAGCTTCTCATTTTTATAAAGTGGCTTGGTTTGGATTAACAGGTGATTCGAAGACCAAAACCGATAGATAGGCATAAAATGCACCGACATCAATGTGCATGTTAAACTTTACCAGAACGTTGCTGACTTTACGAGTATCCATGCTGTCGATTCGCTTGAAAGCCCACCTAAGCTGCTATTGAAGGCTCCTGTTCCCTACGGTAATAATTTTTAAGCTATTCTAAAAGTATTGGAGCCTTCCTTGCCTGACACTGTAGTAAGGTGGGCCCTGGAAAGACAAAAAGGAAAATAATTGCCTGAAAAACCATATTGTGTCAATACATTAATGGGGATGGGGACTACAGACATGGCCTAGAGATCAGCCTATTTGATAGGCGTACAATGGTGAAATCCTCGACTGACACCTTTGCATGACCGAGAATTGCGCAAACACTCATTGCGCCATTGTGTAACAGCAACAGAAATTTTTTCGTTTATATTTCTCGGAGTATGTGTGTCACAATGTCAAATTATGGACTGCGCATGGTCTTCTTTGAAAATGGTAACTCGAGTAATATAAGAAATGCCACTCTTTAAAGCTCTCATGTATGTGTAAACTGCAAAGTTTACTGCCCTACCAGATCTAGGCTGACTTTAGATGGTGAACCAATCCTTGTTTTAGAGCAGATAACTAAAAAACTTAACCCCATTGTGCCAGATTAATTATTAGGGTGTCCAATTAAGTAAACAAGCTGTACGGCGCAAGTACTGTAGCAATATGAAAACATGGTTGGTACCTCACACATGGTTTAACATCTAGTACCCAAAGTCACCAGATTCGTTCTTTTAATGATCAAATTATCATAGACACACAGGCCAATTTGCGCATTCTTGGAACAAAGTGTCAAGTAGCATTACTTCATCACATGATTACTTCATCACATGAGTCGCTAGTCCTCACGATAAGGTCCCGCCAGTTTTCATCAGGGCTACATCACCCGCCTTAGGGGATTTGATCTCGCAACTTGTACTTGGTTCTCCCATACTAGCTTGGTGATTTTCATTATTAAATGAGCGTTTGCCCCTTTTATGCAATGATATTGCCCCAAACTTCAATTGAAGGATTTGCATTTTGTCATAATGCCTTTATAATAATTATCACCTTTTTCTCACGCTACGTAGACTTCTTTTTCTCATACATGTCACATTTTGCTTTGCCACCGAAAATCAAATGAATGTCAATGATTTAAACTATGTAATCCTAGCCAGTGCCCAACTATAACAAAAAAGGTATTAAAATTCTAGAAAAATATCGCATTGTTCAAAAGCACACCAGAATAATTTCAACTTTTCTGTTTCTAAGTTTGCCATCCCTTTTGTAGCGTCCAGAAACTTCCCATAGGGTGGAAGAAGGTGGTAAGTGGAGCTGGATACATGTATTCCGAAGGGAACAGAGCATACGGACCTGAGCATGGCCAGAAAGCCAGCCTACGTGTACAAGGGCCAGACAAATCCTATAGCGACCGCCGAACGTCCTGTGACCGCTTAAACAAAGTATTACACCTTGTCGCCTTCTGTCATGAAAAATATGATGCCTATTTTGTGGTTGTGAGTGGCGAATACAGGTAAGTTAGAGTCTCCTACCACATTATGCAGTTTGATAAGTACTTGAAGTGTCTGCGTCGTGATAACCCACATGGTCCATTCAATCAATCGCGGTGGTGTGTGTTTAGGGCAATATGCAAAAAAGTCTACCCGTTGATGTTTTATCAAGACATGTAGTACTAGCTGATGCACTCAGCCATTTAACTGAGTCTCGATTCCAAAAGGGTACAAAGGTGGATAGCGACCTCTGTTACCGTTAGCATGGTAGTGGTATTACCAAGCAATGGATCTGCCAACAGCGAAGGTGGAGAAAAACGCTACTGTGCGTGTTCCGGTTACCCAAGTTCAAAAAGGACTTAAAAATGGTTAATGACAGGCTTTCTCCTTGGTCTCCCCTTTTACATCCTTTCTTCATCGCTTTGCCAGCTGTTAGGTACACAGATGCGTGGAGGTCGATGTCTCCCGGTAGCATGATGACCAATCAGATGTCGGCATTTTCGCACCAAGGCTTAACCACATCTTGGGCCGCACATTCGCACTCTTACACACATTTGCACACACCCCATTCTCTCTCCTCCCACCCCTTCATGCATTTGCGTGCACACATACATACACACCACATTTAACGCGTTTCCACCTCTAGTCTTCTTGCTGTTATTATTCTTCCACTCTGCGTTCTGAGAAGCCCACCTCTTGCATGGCGGAGAACTCTGGTAATGCAGTTAGTGTGGTCGTTTCAACTGCCACCGCCGGCATCTCCACTAACACTGCCGAAACTTTAGGTAATGCAATTATGATTATAGCGAATGTTTTTGCTCTGCACCTTTAATTAAAGCCGACATGGGATCGACCAATACAGGGTGATGTTTGGGCTCTAGTTTATTGCAGTAGTAACGATAGCCATTTAAGCTATATTCATACTCCCTTGCGAATAAGTACAATTATTTGCCGACTTACATTCACTTTTTGTACAACACTATTATATTACGTGGACTCAAGTTTGCTTACTTTAAACTAAATGATTTAAGAACTCACTTATAAAATTCGCATCATTTGTCTCTCAATTTCATCAGCCAATTCAAGAAAGGCGTTAACAACCTCTTTCCTGTAATGCTGCTTTTGTGACCATAGGTATAGATTTTTAAGAGGGTTCTTTATTGTGACTGATTGCAATGGTTGCGTGCAGAAAACTGACATTACTGGTAATCCTTTAATGCAAGTCCTAACCACCGATACCTATTCCTGTGTCGTAGATTGAATGCAGATTACTACTAGTAAGACGTATGCGGTCTCTGGATGCCTAGATGCTGTAGTAAACACGGTAACTATATACTCCGAAGGAAGATGCTAAGCACAACTGAGTCTGGGAGATGGGTCATAACGGAATGACTAACGCTATCGCCTTTTAACGATATTACGATTTTGAAACGAACCAGACTGCCTTTCGTATTTTCTTTCATCAGAGGCAGAGTGATACTTCAGCACACTCATCCTATGACACTCAAACAGTATTTAAAATACCATTGTGAGATTTATTTTTTGCCTACCGAACGGACTATGCAAAACTTATGAAAATAAGGTACAGCTTTGACAATAATTTCTTATTTTTGGCAAAGATACAAGCCCAATACATAAGGTAATTAACGACTGCTTTATCATTTTGGGTTTTTTAATAAGACTTACCATTGGCTTGAAACCGAATTATAATGGCGGATTTCATTGTTATCCACTAGACTGATAGCATGAAAGTTGAAATGATTTGCTTTTCGAATCTCGAAACTTGGAACAGTAGCTACTACAACTTTAAGAATCCGTTTTCGACGCACGGAGTGTTTTTGAACTGCATCTGTGGCAATTTTCACCTTCTAGTGAATACCTCCACGATCCATCCGCGTTACATCATTGTTATAGTTTATCACCTATTAGCTCTAAGTAGGGAACGAATGTAGGGTTCGTTCTTTCTGATCTGCATGTTGTCGGTGCTCCTTAGAGGTTTGTGTGTCTAGTCATCCTCTCATCTCCCCTGTTTCTTGCCGCTGGAATTTCAAGACCTTTGGCTCGCATTTATTAGAGGAGGGCGTATGATAGTTAGTTACTATGACCACACCAAAATAATTGCCGCTATACTTAGCTAGTGTCCCACCGCCTTCTTAAGGAGAATTAGAAATAGTTTGTAATAATTCCTTTCGCCACCCTAAAGAGCCATACTTAGGAGTGACTTCAATTTGTGTAGCAAAGCATTTGTATTCAAAGAAGTTACGAAAACTCCAAGGCGCTTTCTACCCTGAGGCAACTTTAATCTATTTAAAAACAACTTGTTTAAGGGTTAGCAAGTAATGTCGGACTCTTAAAAGGACAACGCTGTGGTAATACTCGACAGAAGGATTACGTAATTGAAGATGGGACACCTGTTGTGCAATATGCTGTGTACACTGGCAAGGTAGGATAGATCCAGGTTGTCCAAAACAATTTACTATTATCCATTAGCCAAAATTTTGATACTTCATGAACGACAAGCTATAGGTGAGATCAAATTATTCTTATGGTAGACGCTCTGAGTAAATTAGATAAATGGTGAAGCCTTGAGCAGGGTGCCTGGAAAATCACTGCGTATTGATGACTTTTGGGATAGATACATTTACAAACGACTCTGCCTTCACCCAGATCCTCCTACAATTTGTAGACACCTTTGATTTTCACAAACCCAGGGGCAATGCTGTCAACGCATTCCATTCTTCCAGTTCGCACTTTCTCTATTCTCCAGTCTTTGGAGTAAGTTTGCACAGTTAATTTTTCATGGCTTAGTCCTTGCAGCACCAACAAAAGCAGAGTTACCCCAACCCCATTGTTTCCAACCGCGGTGAGAACACAATCAGTTTAAATGTATGCACAACCAGTGCTGAGGAGAAGCAAAAGAAGCGCCGAAATCGAACAACATTTACAAGTTTCCAGCTAAATGAAATGGAACGCATATTTCAGGTAAAAAACGAAATTATGTGCAAATCGTCCGTTTAGAAAACTCACTATCCAGACGTTTATGCAAGAGAGCAGTTGGCACTGAGAACGGGTCTCACTGAGGCACGAGTCCAAGTGTGGTTTCAGAATCGACGAGCAAAATGGAGGAAGAGAGAGCGCCTCTGCAATGGTACTGGCATCAATGGTGCTGGTGCCATCTCTCCAATACCGTCCATCTTCCCTTACAGCGAGTTTTCCGATGGCACGGGTGTATTTACTGATAGTCTGCGCAAGAACTTTGAATATTCAGAGGTTCCTTTTCCATCTGATATAAGTTCTGCAAATAAATTACCTTACGGCACTGAATATCCTCCCTTTCTGTGCAATCCGATGCGACCAAATAGCCAACAAAAAACATACTTGTCAAAGTATGTTAGAACATCATCCAGTCAGGCCCCTTTTGACGAGGCTTCACGCATCTTCAGCTCATTGATGCCAAAATTGTGCAATCCCGTGGTCGACAACTCACCACCACCTCCGCCGCCTATTCTTTCCCCACGTCCTGCGCCTTCTCAACACAATGAACAGCTACAAACACATGTATACCAGGATTCACAATTGTGCTTTAATTTGCATGGGAATCTGAAAACTTCAAGCGGAATTTCACGCCTCATGAAGGAATGGCCCGAGGCAGAGGATGTTCGGTGGGCACTGCACAACGGTCAGTGGAGTAAACAAAGCCAAACAGGAATGGCTGCTAGGACACAGTCGCTCATGTATACTCCAACGTTCGATGGCTACGCAAAGCAGTACGGAGTTCACGAGAGTAATGAAACGGCACTGTCAACTTTGAATAAGTAAATGCCTTCTTACCTCAGTCTTGAAATCACCTGTTTTAAACACTGACTCCTAAATTGATCGCTTCCCCTGTACATACCAGCGATTTGTATGATATAAATCATAGTATGACGACATAACACATCTTTAGTTTAGTCAATGAAACAGATTCTGGGATGTGGACGTTGCATGACCGAAAAAGAAATGGAGCAAGGCAAGTCCTTTTAAAACCACTAAACATTGTATCTACCTGACGAAGAATCGGTTAAAGTATTAACTGACTAAAGTGGAATTACTATTGAGAGTGAACCGAATACAGAAAGTCTCTTATTGCCCTATTCCTTAATTAGCGGACAGTGACACTAACGGATAAAACGAAAGCGAGTTGCTCAAATGGATAGATGGTAAGCACAATCTCCTCGTTTTGTCGTGTAACCTCAGAGCAATGCTAGGAAAAGGGGTTAACATTATAACTAGTAACCATTAATTGGGCAACTGCCCTCACAGCATATCAATGAGGGTGGAAAAAGCACCACCTGACGGCAACTAGTTACGGCGAGTCTCAACACAGGGATTGCCCAAAACTAGTATCATGCAGAGAGCGCGCGAGGGAGGGCCAGAAGGAGAGTGGCATTTGTGGGGTGATTGACATACGCAAACCCAGTAGCAAAAGTATAGGGAGCTTACGTGTGTACAAATCAGCAGCTCGAAGCACTCTTGCTATTTGTCTGATTTGGGATGACAGCGGGGGACCGCTGTATCTTTTTACCTCGGTTCTATAGAAAATGCTACACTAGAAGAACCATGTGAAAACATGTCGAGTGTGTGTGTATGACTTTTGACTGCTTAGGTTTGGCGCGTAAAAGCACAAGAGGTAAGAAAGAAAGTGGATAGGTGGGGGAGAGGAGAGAGGTCTGACTGACGTGGGAGATTACGATGGCCAAATTAACAGAAAGGTAACACCTTGGACGAAGGGGGCACTAGAATGACCAGCAGAAGACGTGCCTGTACGACAGATGCTAAGAAGTCAAGGCGTCCTACCAGTTACTGGTGCTTGCCTTGTAACTGTTCCCCCTTATCAATAAGCATTTATCATTCCCCAAATGGATATGCACAGCGAGAATTTCGCATTTGCATTAGTTTCACAAACGCAGTTTGTTATGATCTGTGGGTGAGAAAGGCCATAAAAAGTTTAATAGAGTTGATTTGGCTCTTGGATAACTGAAATTAAAAACTTGCAAGAGGTTGCCCCGATCATTTGCGTTCTCTACTTTAATAATGGTAATTTTTGTGTTTATCCTGCAATGCATATAGGCACCGAAGCTTCCATTAACTTCTATCAATAATATCGGTGAGTTACACCACTCAAAATCTAAGGAAACGAAAATAGCAAAATTATCGAAACTTCAAAAATCAAGAATGGGTAAGGTAAGACTTTCCATGTATCTCTTTAATAGACCATAATATTCTTCAGCTATTTTACATCGCTTTGTTTAATCACTCGAATCTAACTCTAGAATAAACTGAGAAAACTAGTTTTCGTTTTGACAATCATTTTTTCTCGATTACTCGCAACGTTATTCTGCCTTTCTGAGGGAGAATGGCGGCTATAGTGTCATTTTTGTGAGCTACATATTTTATCCCTCATTGAATTCCAAAAAGCACACTAAATCTTATAAAGTGTATCGAAAGCTAACCGTAGCAAAGACGGCGTAAGTACATATATGAAGGATAAGCGAAATACCGAGAAGTTTGTCGAAGGTTAACCAAATATGGATCATTTATATTCTTGCAATTTTTCGCAGCAATCCGGCTGCGTCACATACCGATATTGGTTTAAATCGTGAGAAACAAACTTGCGCGATATCGATATTTCTTACCCTTGCGTCGAAAAAATAATAACTGACTAAGTACAATATAAGTAGGTCATAAAATTTAAGGTGGCTTTGTTCGCTTGAGGATTGATAGGGTGCTAAGCATAGGGGAAATGCTACACACTGCATGGTGTTATTCACCTAAAAACGTCTCGACCGATGATTAAGGGATGCCTTGGGAGTGAAAAGGCCCAAGAGGACGTAAAAGGGATAAAAAGTAAACACTTCGCTCACAGCGTCAGCTGCTGCTGCCACCACCACTGTGTTTACAATATACACACAAGTATCGAGGAAGAGCTCGCTCTCACAGCAACACCAGCAAAAAAGAGCTCAGTATACACGCGCATTTAGGCCAGCAAACGCGTCTCTAAACCAATCGCAGCGCAGATTTCACGATACACTTCTGATTGGTCAGCGCTTGCACGTGTGTGAAACGCGCGAAATGAGGGAGAGCGAAGTAGGAGGCGGGGGGAGGGGGGCGTAGGGAGGCGGGGAGGAGGGGGAGGAGAGAAGGAGAGCTACAGCGTATGAAGAGAAGATGCATGGAGCTGGGGGAAGGTGGAGTGATAGCGTTGGCAGCCACTGTCACAGGGTCCGACCGCAGAGAGACTAAGCGAATGGGGAGGGTTGAAGCAAAATTAACAGCTGTTAAAAGGTGAGAGGGGCTACAGGAAAGAAAGGAGATGGAGGTTGAGAGAAGAAGAAGGTAAAAGAAACGTCTTCTTGCCCATAATTCCGCTTGTTATATGCATCGTGGACGAACATGGCTGTCAGAAGCCGGCCTCCTTTGGCAAGTTTGTCAACTGATGTCATTTTAGAAGCCACTTCTTCAGCATTCATAATTCTGACATAAACTTGGCATGGTCTCAATTTACTTTAGACTGATCAATATTATTTGGCTAAAGTTACCAGCAAACTTATTTTGAGGTATAAATGATAAGATAAATGGATATAGGAATTATCTGGAAACAACTAAATTCTTCCGATTTCTATTTAATTACAGCTTTCTATTCACTCCCTTTTAAGAGATTGTTGTATTTTAAATGATACGAAGTAAGGCCGCTGGTGTCAGCATGAAGTTTGTTGTTAACCATGCATGACCCTTGATTCTTTCCTTTTTACCAACTTACCCATAAAATTTGCAGTTAATGTACGAATTTGAATGAAATTTTGGCGTATTTGAGTCCCTGCATCCCTTTCAAACATCTTAGCAACACCTCTATTAGAGGCGCTTATGGTTGGAGACGCGCTGATGGAGGATAATCCACTTCTTCGCTGGACTAGCCTACAAGCAATCGACTTTTTGAACTGGGCGTGTGTTGATAATGATAAATAAATGGCAACTGTCTTATCATCGTTTTATTCCTCCTGTGTTGACTTCACCGGCTCTCTTGCTCCACCTTCCACTTCCTAGTTCGCTTTCCTTCCTTCTCTTCCTCCCTCCTCTTGCTGCTATCTTTTGATGCCTCCCACTACCCAACTTCGTCTTGTTCCACTTCACACTGCATCATTGCGTGACCACAGTAAAGATGAAGATTTTTGTCTTTGAACGTTTGTAGTGGAGTGGTTTGACATTCCCCATTTGTTATCCCCAATTCTTGGATGCTGTTAGTTCAACTCATAAGAATTTAAGAATTGTTGCTCGCCTTGCAACATATCTATGTAAATTTAAAATTACTTGACAATGCTGAGGAAAAATGCTATCATTCAAGCAGGACTTTTAAAGTTCCTCCTGTTAGTGATTGTTTCTTAAATATTATTAAAATACTTCAAATACAACTAAAAATGAGTGGTGGCTTAAGCGAAAACCCCTTCAGAAGACACATGATTAAGTATCAAACGTTCCAGCTGCATAAAATGAAGAAACGACCATCAATTAAAAGGGACATTTTAGCTCTCTCTAAATTCGAAAATCGCCGTTAACAATTATGCTGTCCGCCCAGAGTACTCGACGTCTGATGGGGTTGCAGTATAATCGAAAGTACAGAGTGGCTGAAAAAGCTCCAACAACGCTGTTGGATGCTTACTTCCCAACGGAATCCAAAAGTCCGCTTAGCACAAGCTGGTCATCGAATGATGGAAAGATACAGAATAAACTGAAAATCATTCAAGCTTCTTGCCATTTGATAATGCTGTGGATGTGTGAGCATCACGAATCCACTCGCCCATTACTTGTGGCTCCGCATTTCAGTTAATGCGAAACTCAGAATCCATATCATACCCGGCTGGGAGTTTTTATGGCAATACTAGCAAATATTTTGCCAATCACGGAGTGGTCCACCATCCAAGCTATGCTGTGCCAACTCGGACGGCCCGACCACCGAGTGCCTTAAGGTAAACTGAATGAGAGGCTTATGTAAACCCTTCCATTTTACACTCACTATGCTTGTGATAATCTTATGAGTTTCTTATAATCTGCCCTTCATCGGCAGTTGCATGAACGCTATGCAAATCTCCTCCTGATATATTACTACTTTAAAAGTCCCCTTTTTCTGACCTCCCTGAATGTTTAGGTTCCGCATCACATAGAATATAGCTTGATTTGATAACCTATACTTGTCCTTACTCCTAAATAATGGCGTTTTAGCATGACATAAAAGCGACACCTCGTGGCTTTTAGTTTCTTTGTGCTCGTTTGGGTACAAGTGCACCCATTTACGAATTTGTGATTGCTGTATCCATTCGTTGTGTACCACTTCGTAGGAGGAATTTTTGCCCGCTTTTCATAATCATATGGAGTCAAAAGTGGGGCAACAGATGTGCTTTCTCTTTAGACAAGGAGAATGGAAGAAACCGAGGGGTGGTGAAGTTCCGTCCTGCCTCAACTTTTTAATGGGCACCGTGCTTTGCATTCACCTATTTGTTGGGGATGTTGGATACTCCATTATGACAACGTTGCAGAAGTGAGAAAAGGCACTCTGCGAAAATAAACAAACATGGGTAGAGATTAACCAGAGGTGCATTTTGTGCCGAAGTTAAGAAGTTACAGATACAAAGTCCACCTTGATAGAGAGAGACATCTGGTTGCGTTAGGTTAGGGTCGCTCCTTTGAAAATCGTGCGACCGAGTTACATGTGAGGTCTCCGAAAGATGGTAGAGAAGCAAAAAGTCGAGAATAAAAGGAATGGGTGGTTGAGATAGTTTTGAGCT